ATCGTTCCATCAAGAAGGATGACCTCTCGATGGCCCAATCCTGAGGACTTTTAACCAAGGTCGGTTGCCTCCCTAGACTAACGAGAACGACCTCCCGGGTTTTTATCTTGAGTTTTCCTTGCCCTCGTTCGAACGCACGGACCGCCCGGCTCACGAGCCCGATCGTCCGATCACTCACTCATTCATACCGGATGGATCAACCATCCCCCACCCCTGAGAAGCCCGCCCCACACCCCAAGCAGCACTCCCTCTCCCCCCGCCAGGCTGGCTTTAAAGCCCCCGGATACCAAAGGTCGTTGGCCGACGAGTTTTTGGGGGAGCGAGGCTCGACCTCCCTCGTTGGCCTCTCCACGCCACAGGTGTCCAGCGGCATCGACACGGCAGCCGGGACAGGAGACACCCAAAGGCCAGAACCCGCTCCACCGTATGTTGCCTCCCCGTGGCGCCCGCATGAAACCACCCTAGGTCCACAGGGAGAACTCTATACCTTGGTCGGTCACTTCACTAAGCTAACAAGCTCCCGGGTTTTTACTTTGGGTTTTTTTTCCCCTCGTTCGATGCATGGAAAACCATGTTCGTGAGCCCAAACGCCCAACTGGCTTTTTCCGGAGTTGCCTCTCTGATCTGGTCACACTTAAGCTAACGAGCCAGACACCCGGATTTTTCATTGGGTTTTCCTTCCCCTCATTGAGTGTCTGTCTCCAGACTAATGGACCCCACCATCCAGATTTATTATTCGGGGTTCTTCCTTCCCCTAGTTCGGGTGTCTGAACTGTCAGACTCACGAGCCCGAACGCTCGGTTTTATACGAAGTTCAATTTCCGGTTCGGTCGCCCGAAGGCTAATGAGCCCAAACACTATGGGAAACCATGCTCACGAGCCCGATCGCCCGGGTTTGTTAGTCGGGGTCCTTCCCTCCCCTTAGTTCGGTGGTCTGGGAAACCAGACTCACGAGTTCGAACACTCGGTTTTATTCGGAGTTTTGCCCCGTTCGGTTGCCCGAAGGCTAATGAGCCCGACGCCCGGGTTTTTACATTGGATTTTCCTTCCCCTCGTTCGAATGCATGAAAAACCATGCTAACGAGTCTGATCACTCGAGATTTTGCATTGGGTTTTCCTTCCCCTCGTTCGGATCGATGGGAAACCATGCTCACGAGCCCGATCGCCCGATTATCCTATCCCCTACCTTTGAAAGGGATGGGCCGGTCGCTCTTAGTAGCCACTTTTCTCGATTCCTCCTCGAACTTGGAATCCTAAGCTTCTAAGTCGAGTCCGTCACTTAGGATCACTGTGACCATTAAACTTCTGCACCACGACAAGGTGGCGACCGTCGCAGAAGAGCAAAACCTTATCCTGTGGGGCATGACTCGTTTGCCACTTTTTACGAGCTTTCCTTTTCTCTTTGACTAACTGCCTGATTTCGAGAGGGTAATTTAGTCCAGGAATGCTTTTTATTCCTCTCTTACCGGGAATATTATTCCATATGGCTTATTGAATGTTTGTTATGAACAGTTCTACTTATTCCTCTAGATGATCGGTTGTTTTGAGAGGAAATTGCAGTTCGATGATATCTTCAAGTTCAGATCTGAAACTCTTCCAGTCCGTTTTAGGAGTAGTTAGTCTTGGAGGCATTACTTTTTGTATTAACGTTTCGCTTGTTGTTAGTATAATAGGCGTATGGTCCGAGGAGAGATCATTACTTTCGTCCATCTTAATATAATGATTGTTAGAAAATCCTTTGAGCACAAAGAAATTGATGAGATCAGGTACTTTGTGCGGGTCTGCAGGCCAGTAGATTGGATTCTCAGACGAGTAAAATTCACAGTTGGCTTCTCTACCTGCTTCATATAGTTTTTTACCTTTAAGGGTAGTTAATCTAGAGCCCCAGTATGTATATTTGCCATTGAAGCCCCCACCGATAATAAAATCACAACTAAGCGATTTGAATAACTCTAGGAAGTCGTTTCTCTGTAAGCCATAACGGGGAGGACAGTAGATCGCTAAAACGTTATATTCCCTGTTTCTGATTTGCACGCAAAGTGAAGAGACTTGCATTATTTCCAGTTCAATTTTATTGTCTTCGAAATGTATTTTATTTTTTTGGTAACGGTGGGGAAATCCATCCAAGGGATACCCCCTCTCCTTTGGGGAGGACGAGGGTTATGCCGGATTCCTACCGGCTAAAACTCCACCGGGGTGCCTACCGCTCGGACCGAAGTGGGGAGAGTCAGAGGAACTATGCCTGCATTCCCTCCCCGACACCCCGGCCCCAGTGCTCTCATGTAGCCCCACGCCCAAGTACCGCGCCCCTCTCTTTTGGAAGTCACGGGCCGGTTGCCCGGCCAGGTTGGCCTTCCGGTTTAATATAGGAAGGAGGGACACCCGCTCCTTCCTCCTCTCCCCGCCTTCCCCCTACCCTACTGGGTATGTCGGGGAGGCAAGGGAGTGAGGCATGGCCCCAACCAAGCCCCAGTCTCCTTCTCCCTTCCATCACCGACGCGCGTTGTGGGTGGAGGGTTGCCTAACCCTCCTCCCCACTCCCTCCGCTCCGTCGAAGGCGGGCCCGACGCGGCCGAGGACGCCTCCGGAGGATCGGAGGTCGGTCTTCGGCCGGCGCCACCTCGGGTCCGCTCCCTTCCCCTGGAGAGCGCCGCCTCCTCCGTCGCTCCCTGCGACGGGATGCGCTCAGGTGGCGCTCCCATTCGGCGGCCTCCTTGCGAGACATGACGTCCCGGCTAAATGAGGCCGCCGCTCCCCATACCTCCTGTCTTCGAAATGTAGGATTGTGTTTTTGATTAATACGGATGTTCTTCTGGCTGCGTTGGAAGGGTGAATAGAGTAGTAGGCTGAGTAACCAAATATTTTTTTAACGAAAGATTGTTTAGTAAGGTGTGTTTCTAATATTAAACAGATATTTATTTTCTCATTATACAGAAAGACTTCCAGTTCCTGCCTTTTCTGTGTAAGCCCATTGGCATTCCATGTTGCGATTCTAAGGTTATAGGGTATTTCTTTTTATTCTTATTTGCTTTGTTTGTTTCATGACATTTTCCAGTTTATTTAGTCTATCAAAAATCATTTTGTTAGTCTCGACTTGTTCATTCATTCTGTTAAGTTAAGTTAAGGATGATAGTTCATGTTTTGTTATTATCGAAGTTTGTGTGGATATTTGCGTTATCATCTGTCCTTTACCACTGTGCAAAGGTTTTACAACCGATGGTAGATGTTTTGACTTTCGTTCCTTCGAGTTTCTTTTTACTGCTCAAGTCATTGTTAGTCCTTTTTTGCTTTTTTTGATTGTTAGGTTTCTTGGCCTACGTCTTTATTGGAACTCTTTGGCAACTTCACAGCCTCTGTAGTTTGCTGGATGCGATCTATTGCAATTGATGCATTTTGAAGCTGTTTGTCTGCTTATTTTACACTCTCTGGTAATATGTTTGCCGGCACATTTTACACCGCAGCTCCTTCCGACAATAAGTTTGCGTATGGTTAAAACCCTGACAACTTTTGCATTGCGGTATTCTTTTGGTATTTCTTTGCATTGGTTCAATCTTAACTATGGTATTGAGAATCGTCTTTACTTCATAGATTTTTTGTGGCCTTTCTTGGTTCTCAAACATTAGCATGAAGAGTGGGAACCCCACGCTTAATAGTAATTTGTGCACCTAGCTAATTTTCTCCCTTTTCTTTCTTCAGGATATTCACTGCATCGAGTATTTTGCACCCTTTATTACGCAGGTCCCCCAGAATATCTTCACTTTTGCATGATGCATGTAGCCCTCTAGCCATAACCTTTATTGGCCTTTCTTGTTTGTTTGCATACGAATATCACTGGACCCTTTCTGAATCCAGTTTATATGTTAAGATCCTGTAGGCATCCGAATCGGAGACATTAATCTTCCATACTCCATTGTTTAGGGTTGTGATCTTGTAGTCCGTTAGCCTAATTGATTTAAATAGCAATTGAAGTTTAGTAAATTCTTTAATTCCAACCACATTAATAGGTGGTGATTGCTATTTTTTTTTATTGTGTCTTTTCCTTCATTTCCTGTTTCCTGTTACTATCAATTTTAGATAGCTCAGTTTCTAGGGAGGAAACTGCCTTCCTTTTTTTTGTTGAGTTTCTTCTTGTTTAGGATCCATTCTGTCTCACGAGCTAACTCTTCTTCATCCGTGTGATAATCCCGCTTGTCTAAATCACACGCTGTCTCTGCTTGGTCATGATTAGAACTGCTTTCTCTAATGAATTAATCGTTCTTTGCTTTTAATATTTGGATCTTATTTCGCATCTGCGAACAGAGATCTTCCAATTCCCGCAGCCTTATACGCAAGTATTTGTTTTCTTCTTCAGCACCTCCATTCTCCACTTCATCACTTCCATTGTATAATACGGTTTATTTTGGTGAGGACCTTGTCACCATATAGCCCACTTCTGGGTCATTTCCAAGCAATAGTCGGCCCCCTTCCCCCTCCCCAGACTCTATGAGGCCAGCCTCCTCAGAGGATGGATTTACCAGTATCACTGGTCTGTCATCTGGGGTACTAATTTCCGTTTGCATTTTCTCCATTGCTTACGTTACTGGTTTTGGTCCACACCGAACATTTTATTTCCCTGGTGGCCTTCGGCATAGCTGGCAAGCGTTCCCTAATCCGCTACCTGGGGAGGCGCTCGATGGGGGACCAGTAAACCCTACACGGGCAATTTAAGATAAAACATATTTTATATATTTTTACTATTTATTATAACTTTTAAATTATTATAATTTATTATAACTTTAAAATTTTAATAACGCTGCTTATCTTTTGCAAATTTCTTTTTTTCCATTTAAGCACATTTTTTAAATTCAGCTTGCTATATAGCCAAGTGATTAATTATACCCTTAAGTTATATTATATACTGCATATTGTATTTTGTAACTTGACCTCTTACTTGCAATTAAGGTTTTGTTGTTTTGTTGTTAAAATTGATAAATTCTAACATTTCCAAGGTGTTAATAGCAATGGAAACTGGTATTATTTCATCAAACATACAGTATAAAACACCGCGAAAGGAACATACTCCTATAATTGAAGGTAGAATAAAAATCATCACTGAACCTACTTTATGGAACGGCGGTTATGTTGGCATTAGTTCTTCCGGATTTGGCGGTACAAACTCTCACATACTATTGAAATCGAGTCCCAAAAATAAGATCAACATTGGAACACAAGACGGCTTACCTAGACTTATAACAGTATCTGGTCGTACTGAGGAAGCTGTTAAAACTCTATTAGATGACGTAAGTTTATTTAACTAAAAATATGTTTTTAGATTTCGTGGTAATTTATAAATTTAAGATAAAACCTATTCTGTATACTTTCACCATCTAACTTTTTCCATAAGGTCCAGTTGCATTTTGATAAAATAAAATTACAGTTTTAGTCGTTATATTGAGTTAGTCTGTTATACAGAGTTCACCGTATGGAATTAAAAAGAATTTGAATTTATATACGTAAACAATGACTTTAAAAATCTTTAAACCACCAATCGAAAAATTTTAGTGACACTGTTTATCTTTTGGAAATTAATTTTTATCTATTTTAAACACATTTTTGAAGTTCTACTTTTTTGAAGTCATGCAAATATGAACTTTTTATCCAAAATTAAAATAATTTCTATCATAATGAGAAATATATGTCGAATTCTGTCATGGTAGATAAATAGCCGACAACTAGACGTAGAATATGTGGCCCTTCTGTACAGTATTCACATTGAAAACATTGAGGGCCATCCGTACAAAGGATATACTGTAATCGGATCTGAAGTTGTTAACAAAATAAAAGAAGTTGGGAACTGCACAAGAAGACCAATTTGCTTTGTGTTTCCTGGAACAGAAGTTGAATGGCATAACGCAGGTACGAAAGTAGCTATTTCAAGTTATGTTATCTTTCTGCATACGTACAATTTTAATACATAAACTTAATGACTTGTATACATACAATCTCATATATGCCATAATATCCTTAATATGTGATTAAAATTTAATATGTGACTTTTATTAATATAATTTGGATATAACAAAGAACTGATGAAGCTACCGGTATTCGCCAAAGTAATTGAGAAATGTAATGAGATATTAAAGCAGCATGATATATGCGTCAATGATATTATAATGGATGAAACTGGAACAACCTGCAACAGCATCATCCGATCATTCATAGCAATTACTGCCACACAGGTACGAGAAAGAAATATTAACTTTATTTTCTGTTTATAATACATAATATCTTTGTTAGATAATATCTGATTTATCTAAGTAAAAACGCACGTATATGATGCGCATATCACACAACAAACATACTTATATAAATGATACATACGCTATACATATTGGAGACTTGAATAAGTTCTCGCTGTTTTTTCGTGAAAATGAATGCTTTATTTAAAAAAATTAGTAAAGAACGTGTCATTGAAAGTATTGTCCATCGCTAGCCACTACTTTCTCCCATCTTTCTGGCAGCATACGAATACCATGTCGAAAGAACGACTCATCTTTTGAGGTTATCCACGAATCGACCCATTTATCTTCATAAGAATAGAAGTGCTGCTGAGCCAAGCCATGAGTCATCGATCGGAACAGGTGGTAATCGGAAAGAGCAATGTCCGGTGAATAGGGCGGGTGGGGTAGGACTTTCCATTTGAACGTTTCCAAGTAGGTTCTGACCGATTTAGCAACATGTGGCCGAACGTTGTCATGCTGCAAAATTACTTTGTCGTGTCTCGTATTGCGGCCGTTTTTCCTTCAATGCTTGACTCAAACGCATCAAGTACGCATGTAGTTGATAGAGATCTTCCGTGATGGTTTCGTTGGGTTCGAAGAGCTCATAATATACTACACGCAGCTGATCCCAACAAATACAGAGCATGAGCTTGGAATCATGGATATTCGGCTTTGCCGTCAATGTTGATGCATGGCCGGGCTTACCCCACTATTTTCTACGCTTCGGATTATCGTAGTGCATCCACTTTTCATCGCCAGTCACGATACGATGCAAGCAACCTTTCCTTTTCTGCCATTGGCTCAGCTATTCACACGTGAAAAAACACCGTTTAACGTCTCTCGGCTTCAATTCGTACGGCACCCAATTTTCTTGCTTTTGATTCATTCCTAATGCTTTTAAACGTTTGGCAACTGTTGTGTGATCAACTCCTAATGATTCTGCAAGTTCATTTTGTGTCTGACATGGGTCTTCATCGAGTAATGCTTCCAATTCTTCGTCTCCAAACTTTTTCGGTGCGCCAGAGCGTTCTTTATCTTCAACATCAAAATCATTCTTTTTAAAGCGTCTAAACCAATCTCTGCATGTTGTTTCCGACAGATCATGATCGCCATAAGTCTCTACAAGAATTCTATATGCTTCAGCTGAAGATTTTTTTAAAAAAGTAATGCAGTAAAATTCCCCGCAAATACTCTTTTTTGGCACGAAATTCGACATGTTTAACGCTGTGAAAAAATATGTTGTTTACGCTTCGACGGAATAACATATACTGTCACTTCGAGCCTAATGGTGGAGCTTCACGATGAAGTTGGCTGTAGTATTGCCCGATGCAAAAAAGCTAAGATAACACCATCTGTCGGGAAATAGCAAGAACTTATTCAAGTCCCCAATATAAGACTATACACCTCAGTCCAAAACGAATTCTTTTACGAACGACATTGTAGATTGGAATAGTGGATCTCTTAACACACGCTGCTATCCAGCCGGATTACACAATAGGTCTCTCTATTGGTGAACTTATCTGTGAATATGTTGATGGACGTTTTACTATAGAGGAAACAATTTTGGCGGCATATTACATAGGCATAGCATTTGAGCAGGCTAAGCTGCAGGTTTTAATGACTTTCGAATTTATTAATTATTAATTTTCGCTATCCTTAGGTGAAGAAATATATATCAATCATTTGTATGTACAAAGCAATACATAAAATTAATCACGGTTCCACAGGAACCGTTAATGACATTACTGCGAATCGATGTAAATACCTTAAAATTGTTAGGACAAAACTCTTGGAGCATTTCAGCCGAATATTACCAACGGAACCTTCAAAAAGCCGCAGAGTAACGCAGTTGGGTAGACCACAAAGTAAACGCGACTTGACTGAGACTGCTGCAGAATATTATGCAGACAATATCCTGAATCCAATACCATTAAAAGAAATTATAACTTTGATATCGAAAAGCACGGTACTCGTCGACATAGTACCGCACAATGCTTTTCAATCGATTATGACAAATTTGCTAGAATCAACGATAACAATCATTCCATTATATAAACGCGGCCAGAAACATACCATACAAAGCTTTTTAGAAGGAATTGGAGATCTTTATAATGTAGGACTTCAACCACAGATTGCAAATTTGTATCCACCAGTGCAATTTCCTGTTAGTCGCGGAACACCAATGATATCTCCTCTTATTAAGTGCGTCACCTTTCTCCTATATATAAGAAAAAGACTCACATTTCTTTATTTACATTATTTATTCTACAATAATATTGCAGATGGGATCATTCTGAAGACTATTATGTATTCCGTTATAAGGAGAAAAATAAAATTTTCAGCACTGAAAGAATCATCACTATTACACCCGATGATGAGGACTTCGAATATTTGTATGGTCACGTGATAGATGAAAGAATTTTGTTACCTGTTACTAGTTGCCTTTATGAAATTTGGCGTACAATTGGCTCGTTGAATGGCACTGACCATAAAAACATCGATTGTATTTGAAAATATTAAATTCGTACGTGCTACTCACTTATCAAAACGAGATAAGCTGGAATTAACACTTGTGATCCAAGAAAGTAAATACTTTTGCAATTACTAGAGAATCGACTCTTTATATTCCTCTTCAGTCATATTGTGATGGAATATTAACTATATATAATCGACACTAAAAAATGAAAGAAAATCAATGAAAGTCGCAACGATACTCAACCCTCAAAAGAGAAAATAAGCAACAATAATTGATTTCAGAGGAAGAGCGGGATTATTTTGTAATAATCATAATATTCTTACAGACAATAATACTTTCGAAATTCTCGAGAAAGGCAATGTGATTGTCAGTGGTGTCGTGAGGATCTCTAACGATATCGCGAAGGAGAGGCTACAGTTTTTAGCTAAGAGTGACGATGCTGAAGAATGCATGAATACTTCAGATATTTTCAAAAAACTACGAGTCTGTAGCTATCAGTATACCGGTTTGTATCGCTCGTTGAAAAGCGCTTCAATTAATGGGAGCGTAGGACATATCAAGTGGTCATCAAATTGGGTGGCGTTCATCGACAATATGGTGCAAATGAAAAGCCTGTCGCTTGACTCGAGAAATGTTATATACATAACGACTTATATTCGCAAATTGGTAATCGATCCCAAATTTCACATAAGACAGCTTCCTAAACTTTCAATAGAAGAGAGAAATAAGTCAGCGCTCAGTTTTTATTTTGAAACAATTTCATATTCCAACATAATCAGCTGTATTCTTTCTCTCCCCCCTCTTCCTCTCTCCCCCTGTTCCTCTCCCTCTCCCTCTCCCTCTCCCTCTCCCTTTCCCTCTTCCTCCCCCTCTCCATCATACTTTCTCACTCACTCTCCCTCTCCCTCTCACTCTCCTTCTCCTTCTCCCTTTCCCCTTCCCTACCCTCTCCCTTCCCCCTCTCTCTCTCTCATCTCAAATTTTATTATAGACGTACCCGTGCGTATCTACGGCTCTCTCGATGCCATTGTATCCGGAGGTATAGAAATTTATGGACAGAGGTTCATAGCCATATCACGTCGGCCAGCAAACATCAAACCTGTGCACGAGGAATACAAGTTCATTGGTTACCGCGATCATACTACGATCTCCTTAAAAGATGCAGTGCAAATATCAATACAGATCGCACTTGAATGTCACGAATTGAGAAACGTTAAAGTGATCGAGGTCGTTGAAGACGATGACAAAATTCTGCTGGAGGATCTAATTATTCCAATTGTACACGAAATTCTAAGCAACTTGCCGTCAGTACAATCTAATCTCACGTTGGATGCGACGGAAAATAGACTCCATAGTTCCTTATTACCTCAAAATCTATCAGTCATACAACCTAACAAGTATTGAAGGATGATACGTTCCTAATGGTCGTTGGCGTCGGAATATTAACGAAAGATGGACACACATTACTATCCAATGTAATGGCTGGAGGTTTTCTATTTACCCGGGAGGATCTTAACGCCACGTACGACAACGAGCTTCTGCAACAGTGCAATTTGAATATTATTTTAGAAAAACGCACAGAACGGGAATCGGTGTTGCTTTTAAGAAAGGCACAAAATGTTATAACGAGACGAGAAGTTGTGTACATAAATAATTACGAGTTCTCGTGGATCATAAAGCTCAAATCCGTGATGGAAGTTGTCGATGAGACGAACTCAAGAATAACACTCGTTGCTGAAGGTGATCCTGAAAGCGGTGTTTTAGGATTTGTAAATTGTTTGCGAAGGGAACCAGGCGGCAAAACAGTTAGATGTGTCTTCATTCAAGATGAACACGCGCCCAAATTCTCCTTGCAAGCACCTTTCTACATGAATCATTTACTACTTGATTTACCAATGAACGTCCGGGCAAATTTTGGGGTTCTTACAAGCATTTGCCATTACCGCCTCCGGAACCGGTACTTGTGCAATGCGGTTATGTCACTCAGGCGGTAGGTAAACGTTTATAGGAAAACGGAAATATATGTAAAGTTTTATCAACCCCAATACACCGTAAAACACACAAGAAAATAATTCGATTCGTTTCAACTAACATTCCTTTACAACCAAAGGTTTCTGCACAAATTAAATAGAAAGTGGATCCCAGTCAATTTCGCTAAAAATGTAGTATGTCATTTTTTATGGCTTCCTGATCAAAAGACGCCATGGACACAAAACTAAAAAATGGCCAGATTTCGAGATATCGAGGGCCAAAGACTGACCACGTGCCGCTGAAGGGCATTCAGGTTGTTGTGGTGCATCGCTGGCTCATTTATTTTCTATTGATAGTGTTTTTGATAATGTTTATAGTATTCACTTATCTTCACTTATAAACACTATAACATAAATGTATTGGGTATGGGAATAAGTTTCCGCCCTTTTCAGAAAGATATCGTTAGGTACTAATTTCGTGTTTGTTGGAAGTGCTATACTTGTGTTTTGAAGATGAATTTGTGAACTTTGAATCACAGTAGTAAACATTCGTTTGAAACGTAAACATAATTCTTTTCTTGCGTTGAAAATGGCAACATTTACCTCAACGAAGCAGCATTTGCAGGAAGTGTTACTTCATTACTATATTCTGAAGAAAAGTGCTGCTGAAATGCATCGAATGCTTGTTGATATTTACGGCGATCATGCTCCGTCGAGTATTAGAATATAAAGAGTGGTTTCGGCGTTTTCGAAGTGGTGATTATGACGTGAACGACCGAGGACGCGAAGGGACACCTAACAAATTCAAAGATGCATAACTGCAAGATTTACTCGAAGAAGATCCAAGTTGAACGCTCGTAGATTTTTCAAACGAGTTAAATATTAATAGATCTACCGCCAGAAAGCATTTACATGCGTTGGGAATAGTTCAAAAGTCAGGAAATTGAGTGCCACATAAATTGAAGGAGAGAGACATTGAAAGACGTCTGGTGCGAGATGCTGCTTCAAAGACAAAAAAGGAAGGGTTTTCTGCATCGAATTGTCACTGGCGATGAAAATGGATCTACTATAACCCCAAACGACTGAAATCATAGGTGATGCCAAATGAACCAGGTCCATCAATTTCAAAACGGAATATCCACGGTTCGAAAGTTATGTTATGCATCTAGTGGGATCAGAAGGGCGTTATTTATTATAAGCTTCTAAACCGTCCCAAACCATCACTGGCGATCGTTACCGACTGCAGTTAATACATTTGAACCGAGCATTAAAAGAGAAACGACCGGAATGGGATAATAGACATAACAAGCTGATTTTGCTACACGACAACGCTAGGTCCCACGTTGCAAAACCGGTCCAAAAATACTTGCAAGGATTGAATCGGGATATCTTGCCTCACCCGCCGTATTCATCAGATATTGCTCCTTCGGATTTCCACTTATTTTGGTCCATGCAGTCGGCCCTTTCTGGAGAGCGGTTCATTTCTCATAAAGGTATCGAAAAATGGTTTAACCCTTTGCGGTCGGCAGATTTCGCTGGTCGGAGTATCAGCAGGTCGGAGCAAATTTAGCGTTTCGCAGTTACTTTTTCGTACAGGATTTAAAGTCAGTATATAGATATTAAAACACACAGAATTTGTTGAAATTGATTTGTTGTGTTTAATACTACTTATAATACGTAAATATACAAAATTTTTAATTTCTGTAATTTTCTAAAGTATGATATTTTGCAAAACTATCAGCGATATGAAGTCCTAGCTTCCGTGTACAAGTATCACAGTACGTGTATATTTGTCGTCTCTTTCCTGGAGTTTTCCCGTCGGAACATACATACTGCACAGTCTTTCTTGCCTCCTGAACAAATTATATGAAGCTGATTATTTAATCTAATGTCTACGAATGACGTTGAAGGTTGCACTGTAGATAGTGTTTGGTGCCGGAAATTTCCTACTAACTGATCGACTAAACATTTCACAAAATTTAAGTGTGTTAATGGCTTTTCGTTGTTTCTGTTGTCTTGTTATTTTATGCATTATGTATGAATTGACGACGCATATCTTCATATCTCAAAAAAATAATTTTTCCACCATTTGAGAAATTTGCGAAGGAAACAATATGTTGCCGCATATTAGTCCGCGCGATCAACTGCTCTCATTTTATTGGTATAATGTATAGCCACGATTGGTTTCAATAAATTTATTGTGCCATCACCACCGCGTGTTCTCGTTGTAACCGATTCGAGGGATGCTGCATCGCTGGTGCTCAGAAAAGTTACGATTCGCTTGCTTTTCCATGCGAGGACTAATGTATTGTCCTTCTTATAAGCCACAGTCGACTTTGATGAAAATTTCAATTTTTTAATTGCAACTGGCAAGCATATTCGATTTGGCATTACTGTACCAGTTAAATGGACCTTTAGTTTTAGAAGTTCATTAGCAAGCGGGATATTTGTAAAGTATCTATCAGTATACAAATGATAGCCCTCAGCACTTGGAATGTTGTCCAGAAGTTTTTTAACTAATGTTAAAGGCATTCGAGAGCTAACCGGAAGTTCTGGTTTCTCTAAATTCGTAGTTGTCAAGCTTCTATAGTAGGGCAAAATCGAATATACATAGCCAGTTTCCCCATTCGCTAATACGTAAATTCTTATGCCCCATTTGGTCGGTTTCTTCGGATTATACGTTATAAATGCAATTTTTCCCTTGAACTTGACGATTGATTCATCGACACAAATATCCTTACCAGGTATAAAATGTTCCGCAAACTTCGAGTCGATATATTGCAAAAAGTTGTTTGCCTTTCCAATCCGGGTTCTCAAAGATGTATTAGAAGATGCATTGCCTTGTAGATGTAACATCCAGAAAATTTGACGGAATCGGTCTCTTCTGAATACCTCCGAATAGAAAGGAATTCTGCTGTTGCTCCTAGTTGTCCAATATTCCGATATGCTTGCAAGTGGCATTGTTCCCGTATTTAGAATTACACCGATGAAGGTCATAAATTCTTCACGTGTAACGTCCACCCACAAATGCCAAATAGGACTTATTGGCCAACTGTTTCTCACGTATCTTCATTTGTGCATATTCATTAGTCGTTTTTACAATTTGGTCTATCAATACATCAGTGAAATATCATTTGAAAAGGTCCAATAGTCTTGTTACATCCTGAGATATTTGTGGTCCTACGATTCGCGGAGAAGTTTTGAACATGAAACTAAAAGGCAAATCATCTTTTTCTGTTACGTCCTCCCATCCATCACTTTTACTTGAGTCCTCTATTTGTTCTAAATGTTCTTCATCATCACCTTCACTATTCTCCATGTCGCTGTCAATTCTTAGTACATTCCGTCTCTTAGGGGAAACTATGTAATCGTCACTACCGTCACTTTCATTGTCAGATACTGAATCATACATTAAATTGTCCATATTTTCATTATATACAGGGTTTTTCAATTGGTGCGAGTCGATGTTGGCAGCCTGTGGCGGCCATGTTATTTTGGCGGCGTCTGTTGTTTATTATTCAGTCACTGATGCCAAATCACCATGACAAGTTACACGATTGAGCAGCACATCCAAATGATAAAACTTTATTATCAAAATGAGTGTTCGTTAGTGCAAACGTTGCGCGCGTTGCGCCCATTTTACGGCAGACACGGTGGCCCTCCAAAGTCGACTCTCCAACGTTTGGTGGTCAAATTCGAGACGACCGGTCCGGTAAACGATCAGCCATCACCCGTACGTCAAAGGAACGCCAGATCGGCCGAGAACATCGCCGCTGTAAGTGAAAGTGTGCAGGAGAACCCGAGGCAGTCAATTCCTCACCGTGCACAAGAACTCGGCCTTTCGCAGACTTCAACTTGGCGAATTTTGCGTCGGGATTAGGGCCTGCACCCGTACAAGATCCAACTGACCCAAGAGCTCAAAGTTAATGACCATAGACAACGCCGTTTGCTCGCTAACTGGGCTTCGGAGCATTTGGAAGAGGATCCCAATTTTGGCCGAAAAATCATCTTTAGCGACGAGGCGCATTTTTGGATGAATGGCTATGTTAACAAGCATAATTGCCGTATATGGCACGACGCCAACCCACACGAGGTTCAACAGGTAGCAATGCATCCACAAAAAGTTACTATTTGGTGCGGATTTTGGGCCGGCGGCGTCATTGGTCCGTACTTTTTCGAAAACGACGTTGGTGAGGCCATCACCGTCAATGGCGAGCGCTACAGAACGATGGTAACCAATTTCTTTTGGCCCAAATTGAACGATATGGACGTGGACGACATGTGGTTCCAGCAGGACGGCGCTACGTGCCACATAGCGGACGCCACGATGGACATTCTGCATGAACGATTTGAGGGTATGGTTATCTCTCGCAGAGGTGACGTGAATTGGCCACCAAGATCGTGCGATTTGACCCCGCTAGACTTTTTCTTGTG